AATTTATGGCCACTCTCTTCTTCTATGTGTATAAATAGAAGAGTTCTCTATTGGTTGAATACACAAGTGATAGAAACAACAAAAAACACAAAGAGAGAAATACAAGCTTTCCTTCCACTTTCTTCTTTCCGTTTTTAGATTTCTTTTTAGATTTCTTTGAGAGATAGAAGAAATTCACAGCCGGTTCATAGGCGGTTAACGTAGTGCAACGTAAACTGACGACCGATTGTATCCTGGGAATCGAACACCGATCAAAACCTCGTGCACCCCGGTGAGGCGGCGAATTCGATTTAAGGAAACCGTGTGAACACGGGCCTTCGGTTTGATTAATCTATTACTTTGATTCTCCATTATTTTATCCTACAAGCTTAAATCGAGTTCTATNTGATTTACTTTGATTCACCTTTATTTTTCCCTACAATTCTCACCTCATATGGCTCACATAAAGACTCCTAAATCCATCCCCAGCCTTTTCTTCCACTTGCCTTTCCAGTCCTCATTCAAACTTACATTCTCAGGTGCTATGAAATGAGGGGGGTTATTTCCTTTGCCTATCGTATGTATCATCTTGGCTTCGTCCCGAACCGATGAAGCATTCTGGTAGACACGTGTGTGTAGGAAGGCTGATCACCATATAAACTAAGAGACTATTAGATTAAATTTATTTCACAAGACTATTACAAAAATAACTTTCATTGCACATGTTCTATACTAGTAGTACTAAAAAGAGACTAGCTTGACTTCAACTATTTTTTAGTAGAGTTATATTACGAGCTCGTTTGGCATGAATTTTAAAAAGTCAAAATGAGCGTTTAAGATCGAAAAACAGCCTTTGGATCAGTTTGGTTAATTTTATGAAAGTATTTCTTCTAATTAGAAAAACTTTTAGAGGAAGCTGGTCGAATGTAGTTTCCTCTAAAGTACTTTTGGAATAGAAAGTTCTTTCAAAAATTAGTTTTTAAACAAATATTAAGGAATTTTCATGATCTTCCTCCAAAAGCTCTTCTACACGAAGAAAAAGAAAAACAAAAGTCATGTCAAATGGACCTTACATGAGATTTAAAAAAGACCTTTTAAAGTAGTATGTTCTTCTTTGAGTATATTTAACTAGTCTTTCCCCCGTGCGATGCACAAATTTATATCAAGTGATAAACAATTCTAATATAAGAAACACACGCTAATTGATTTTTCAATCCAATTAGATGAAAAACACTTCATAGAATTAATTTAAAATTAACTTGCGAGTCAATTG